CTGGCTGCTTTGTTTCTGTTACTCTGTGGTCCTCAGGATCATGATGCTTTAAGAGACCATGGCTGGCCTGTTCAGCCTTTCCAACCTCCCAAGTGTCAGTAGTGAGAAGAGCTTTGGAGTCAGAAATAACTGGATTCAGATACCGGCTCTGCCATCTTTTAGCTGAATTGAGAATGATATCCACACACAAGAGTTGTTTTGTGGTCTAAATGAGATATGATATGAAAATACCCAGCATTGTGCTTGTCAGGCATAAGGGGTATATAAGTGCTGATTGATTTTCTTAACATTCTTCATGAGCTGAGGAAGATGTGAATAAAATATAAGAAGTAAATAAGAGCATTTCATTGGATGGGTTAGGAGAACTAGTTAGCTGACTGAGTGTGAGATAGTTGGAAATAAATGATTCAAAGATTTGGGATGGCCATTTGGCAGTGGTTAGGAGTTGCTGTGTTCAAGTTCTGGCTCTGCTTCTGATTCTAGCTTTCTGCTAATGGGTACCCATGGAGGCAGCAGTGGTGGCTAAAGTGATTGGGGTCTTGCCATCCACATTGGAGACTTGGATTGACTTCCTTGATCCTGTCTTTGGCCTGTTCCAGCCCTGGCTGATATGGGCAGTGGAGGAATGAATTAGTGGGTGGGATATCTTTCCCTCTCTATGTCTGTCTTCCTGCCTTTTAAATAACTATAAAAATAAAATAAGATAAAAATAAAATTCTGATATAGAACTCAGGTTCCCCAAGTGGCATCCTAACTCTTGCTGTAAACACCTACACCTCCAAGATTTTTAAGATTTTTTTTTTGAGATTTATTTATTTATTTGAAAGGCAGAGTTACAGAGAGGCAGAGGCACAGAAAGAGCTTGAGAGCAAGAGCGAGAGTGAGAATGAGAGAGAGAGAGAGAGAGAGAGAGAGTCAGTCTTGCATCTGCTGGTTCACACCCCAGATGGCTGCAATGGCCGGAGCTGCGCCAATCCAAAGCCAGGAGCCAGGAGTGTCTTCCGGGTCTCCCATGCGGGTGCAGAGGCCTAAGGACTTGGGCCATCTGCTGCTTTCCCAGGCCATAGCAGAGAGCTGGATCACAAGTGGAGCAGCTAAGGCTTGAACCAGCAGCACCCTATAGGATACTAGCACTCCAGGTGACGGTTTTACCTACTAATCACAGTGCCAGCCCAAATTTTGAAGATTTTTAAGCTACGTTTTTAGGTCATTTGAATAGGACAGAATAGGACAATGAAGACTTAAAAACGATCATGGTAACAGTTGGGAAAGCAAAAACTATGGTGTTGGTAATGCTGTACCAAAAGACTCATGAGGAGGAAGTGAGCACCTCTTGAATGCTGTGATAATTCAAGGAATGCTGTGATAATAACCAAGGTTAGCATACAGTCTTGCCCTTGTTATGTCCCTGATAGTAAGGACCTCTGTATATTTTGTTCTTTAGGTGCCTTCCTCACCTCACCCTGTTTCTGCCCTAAAGCACAGTGATCTTTGGATTTAGTAATTTGAAGCTAATTAATGGAAGAGATGGGGAGGAGCTGGAGCCCAAAAGGGACAGATTAACAATAAGGAAAGTCTGGATAGCATAGTATTTGCCCATCAGAAAGGGAGATCAAAGGAACTGTGATTCAACTGTTGGATGCTGCAGAAGGCAAAAGAAAGTGACTGAGGTCATGGAATTTAGTGTTCATGAAGGCCATATTTTTGTCAGAAGGACAAACTAAAAGGAAAAATTAGGTATTCAGAAAAGTGGGTAAAGTGAGTTACTCATAAAAGGTTGGGTAAAAGGGTGAAATAAGAATGGTCATGAGAAAAGACAATCATGTCTAAATAAGACTTTTCAAAACAGGAAAGGAGAGTAGAAAATGAGCAACAGGAAATACTTTAGAGGATGAGAGATAATATTTGAGGTCATGGAGGAACAGGAAAGTGCAGAATCAAGGTTACCTTTTTAGGAGTTTACAGAAGGAAAATGGTGACTCTTCATTGTGGTCTCCATTGTGCTTGGGAGATAGTTTATTGTTTAAAATACTGAGAGGCTGAGGGGAGATGTGAACACATAGCAGGTGCCATCCAGTCTTCATATTCTTAGTGGAAGGCATTCTCCAATGCTGTCCCTTACCTCAAGTTGTTCTATTTAAACAGACCTCTGATATCCTGGCCCTGTAATTAGAATTTGTTTGATCTTGCTAAGATTTTGCTTTCATCTCTGAATTACTGAGATTATTGTCTCAGCTCGCATTTTTGTCTCATTGTGCTTTGGTTCTACCAGGTAATAGGTTAGGTACAATTAAGCACATAGATGAATTCATTTGTGCTTTAAAGACATCACTTTATTAGAAATTTTGAAAGTTTTTTTATTCCCTCCTTTGTTTTGTATCGCATCAAACTCTCCAAAGAATACTAATAATCCTTCTTCATTATAATTTCTGTTCCACTGTTTTATTGTTCGTGGAAATTAATTTATATTTATGTACTAAAATATAACATTCTTGGCATCTTTTTATAAATACTGAGAAATATACTTGTCATATGCTTGTGGGTTTCTCTTCTACATATATGACAGCGCAGCTACATCAGTTTAATTGACCTTGGCAATCTGCATCTGCTAGTGATGTGTCCCTGAGGGATGGTTTCTGCAATTTTAAGCTGTGGCTTATTGAAGAACTTGTGTGTCACAATACAATTAAGTCTATATAAAAAAATCATTCCATGCATAACATTAAATTGACTAAAAGTTCCTATTTCAAAACCAGTTCTTATTATAAAGCTACCTCAGAGTGTCTTTGTTTTTTAAATAAGCTCCTTTGAACATAGTAGTAATTAAAGCAGAAAATTAACATAAATCTTGAATGTTTGGTATGAATTAAGGATGTTTTGGTTCTTTTTAAAGACTTCATAAAATTCCAGGCAGCATATCATTTAACAGATTTCTTTCTCTTTCACACAGCAATAAAGACTGTGAATAAGCAGGTTTTAGGATTCTTTTTCAAGTTCTTTTTCTGCTCAGCTCTGTGGCTACTGGAACATGGTGGCAGTCTCCATCAAGAAGTGGTCTCACAGAACTCTATGAGAAATCTGTGCCTGAATATCTGAATAATAATTAAATAAAATAAGTAAATAAATAAAATATATGAAATATTCTACCTCCTCCCACCTTATTTTATAAAACAGAAACAAAAACCTACAGTCCTCCTATTAATATTCATTTTACACTTCATAGAAAATGGTGAGCAGTTATTTGGTTTGTGAATGTAAATATGCATTTTTCATTCACTTATGCTTTTACTTCTTCCAAATTGGTTAAAGTCAGAAATGAGGATGTGTCTGAGGTTTGCTTTCACTGGATTCCAAGTTAAATGTAATAGCAAATGTGTAAGAGAGCTATAAACAGTTCATAGAAGGATGGTTATGGTGATGAAGATGATAAAAGTCTTCCTCACAAGAAGCAACTAAAGAAGTGAACTCCTTTCTCACAAATTGTGGACAAAATGTACATGGATTTTTTTTTTCATTGAGTCATTGATTTGAGTTCCCAGTTAAATACTTTTAATCTTTAAAAACTATGGTTAGATAATAAAAAATAATGCAGAATTTCAAGCACCACTGAAATTCAGAAAGTTGTTAATTTGATCCATGATCAGATTCAACAGTGTTTCAATGAATATCATAAATATATTCCATATGCTTAAATAGGGATTACTGTACCTACAAGGAAAGGACGCTAACCAATTGATGTTAAAGTCGTGATAAACAGTCATTCTTGGGTTAACTAGCTGGTACCAATTAAAACGTTTCTGACCTTTTCTAGCGTTGGTTATATTCATCTGTGTTGTCCATGTTATATTGTTCAATGATCCTTTTCCACATATTGACAAGTTAAATACTAATACTAAAATTTATACAATGATGTCTACTTTGACATCAATAGTATCATACTAAGTTATGTAACTTCAGTGTGTTCTTTTTCTGGAATGAAACTAGGAAATTGCTCAGTTGAAAGTTCTTTGAAATGAACAGATGGAAATTCAGTAGATTTTCAGGAGACTGAGGTCATTTTTAATATGAAAAAAAATTAGCCTTTTCTATTTTGGAATACAGTACCAAATAACGAATTGCTTGATTTTAGTGAAATTAGCTGGACAGTTCCAATTAATAAATAAAATATTTGATATTTAGATTCAAGAGTTCAAAATATCGAGTTCAAACATCGAGAAAATTTTGATTTTTAAAAGTGTAAAGGATTATATATGAATGTTTAGGGGCATACAATATTACTGTGAGTATACAGTAAAAGAATATATTTGAACTCAGAGGTAAATGTTCCAGTGGTAGCTTATGGTGTTGGTACTAAATACTTTAAGAAATGCAAAATTATTTATTAAACTTTTAGTAATTCCTGACTGCTTATTAACTGAGTTTGTGATGGGACTTTAATATTCAAGTGAATCTTGCTATGTACATTTTTACATCAATGAAACCATAAAGCACATTCTTAAGGAAATTTAATTAATTAGCACTGACCAGGCACCTACATGTACAACACAGTGTGTTCAAGCATAGCTTTAAATCCTGTGAGGCCTGAATATTATATAATTTGAGGTTTTCCCTTTAGGAATGAAAAAATTTTCAAATTCTATATTAGACACAGGACCTGGAAAGAGGACCATGCAAGGGAGGGACCCAGATTTAACTTCTTTAAATTCACAGTATTTGTGCTTTAACTCCAGTAGATGCTATGAGATATTGAAGGTATCTAAGGCATAATCATTATGTTGCTCAAGCTTGGTGTGAAATTTCACTAAATTTTCAAGGATATTCCTGTAAAAATGAGATGAATATATAAAAGGGCTTTGATCTGTCAATAAAAAAAATTAATTCCTTCTCATTTAAAAATCAGCTTTACTTCAGATTTCTGTGTGGGCCAAAGTTTTATCAAAGTTTTGGACAAAGAAGTTCATTTCATATATAAGAAAAGTGCCTCTATTTAGAAAACTCACGACATGCAGCATTTAATGATGATAGGTTTCAGTGGTCATCATCCAGGCAGGTTGAATTGATCAGCCATAGTCATTGCTGACTTCCTTGCAACTCAAGCAACTGTCAACAGATGGTAGTGATGATCTGTTATGCAACTGGCAATGATGATGAAGGTTCTGTTCATGTGACCTTTAAATACATTAGAAAAATCTTCTCAAAATGCCATTCTGCATTGAAAATAATTACATGAATATTTAATTTTACTGTCAATGAAAGGTGAAATAGCATAAGAAATACAAATAACAGAAGAGTTTTTAAAATAAAATCTCGAGTATGATAGCAAGGAACTAACCATTCACTCATTCATGCATCCATTGATGCAATTGAGTATCTCTGTTGCTCCAAGAACCCTGCTGGGCTCTGTTGTACAGAAGTAAACAGCATGGGCACATTCCTGTTCTCCTACCTGGTGGAAAAAACACAGACAGCAATTATCCCTTCAATTTTTTCTATACTTCCTATGTCCTTTATGTAGAAAGCAACAAATATATATATAAGATTTATTCTTATGTTTTTTTCTGTTTTTGATAAGAAATGATTGGTTGGTAGGTGTCAAAATATTTTTACATTTGATTATTCTTTTTTTAATAATGTAAATTTTTTGAAAGGCAGAGTTACAGAGAGAGAGACAGATATCTTCCATCTGCTGTTTCACTCTCCAAATGGTCACAATGGCCAGGGCTGGTTCAGTCTCAAGTCAGGAGCCTGAAATTCCATGTAGGTCTCCTACATTGGTGACAGGGGCCTGGGCACCTGGGCTATCATCTGCTGCCTTCCCTACACCTCAGCAGGTACCAGCATAGGAAGCAGAACAGCCAGGATTCAAACCAGTGCTCTGATATGAGAAGCAGTCATCGCAAGCAGAGGCGTAACCCAATGCACTACAACACTAGCCTCTACATTTGATTATTTTATTTTGCGCTTGATTTGTTGATATATCTAAGAAGTAACTGTTTTGTTCCAGGATCTCCAAAGCTTTTTTCTTTCAGTTTAAGCTGTTATTTTCTCTTTGGAATTGGAATAAAAGGTTCTTTAATCCATTCTGAGATTTTTTTTAAAGACTATTCATTTGAGCCGGCGCTGAGGCTCACTAGGCTAATCCTCCGCCTTGCGGCGCTGGCACACCAGGTTCTAGTCCCGGTTGGGGTGCCGGATTCTGTCCCGGTTGCCCCTCTTCCAGTCCAGCTCTCTGCTGTGGCCAGGGAGTGCAGTGGAGGATGGCCCAAGTCCTTGGGCCCTGCATCCCATGGGAGATCAGGAGAAGTACCTGGCTCCTGCCATCGGATCAGCGTGGTGCACCGGCCGCAACATGCCAGCCGTGACAGCCATTGGAGGGTGAACCAAGGCAAAGGAAGACCTTTCTCTCTGTCTCTCTCTCTCACTGTCCACTCTGCCTGTTTAAAAAAAAAAAAAAAAAGACTATTCATTTGAAAGAGTTACAGAGAGGCAGATTCAGAGAGAGAGAGAGAGAGAGAGAGATATTGAGATTGATTGATTTTCCATCTACTGGTTCACTCCCCAAATGGCCGCAATGGCCAGAGCTGGGTCAATCCGAAGCCAGGAGCCAGGAGCTTCCTCTAGGTCTCCCACATGGCTACAGGGGCCCAAGGACTTTGGACATCCTCCACTGCTTTCACAGGTGCATTAGCAGTGAGCTGGATCAGAAGTGGAGTAGCCGGGACTTGAACTGGCACTCATATAGGATGCTAACACTGCAGGCAGTGGCTTTACACGCTATGCCACAGTGCCAGCTTCAGAAATGCTGTTCTTAAAAAGTGTGATGTGAGTACCTGGAGAGAATATTTTATCTTAAACACAGGTTCAGTTTGATCCATCTTGTGTGGTATTACTACCCACATTCCTTTATTTCATCTCTTGTACAACAGTTTTTCTCAGTTAAATTCTTAAAGTTCTTCCAAATCTCAGTTTTATGAAACTAGTCAAAATGTTCTTTAGATATTTTTCTCAAAGGAACTCAAGCTCTTCCCTGTTCCATGGCACTTTTAGATTCATTGTTGCATGGCATATTTAGCAAATAACTGTAAAAATATTATGCAGAGCAAGTTCCACAAGAAACTCATCATAATATTTGCATTTGTTGGTTTTTGCAAAACAAGCAAAGCAGAAATTACTGGCTAAATGTGACTGTATTACTGAGTCCATTAAATTGTTTAACACTAAGTGTAATCAATTTGGTTAAAATGCAGATAACTGTCTCATTTTTTTTTTTTTATTTTGTATTTGACAGGCAGAGTGGACAGTGAGAGAGAGAGAGAGAGACAGAGAGAAAGGACTTCCTTTTGCCATTGGCTCACCCTCCAATGGTTGCCGCGGCCGGTCTCATTTTGTTTTAAGAAGTCCTGTGGAATGACAAGTTGGGTCATTCACCCAAATCCATGATATAACTTATGCCTGTGACGCATGGGAACAAGTTTGTAATCATATGAATTATTACAGAGTTGTGAAAATAACGAACATAGATAAATAAAGTTTTAGAAAATGCATTTTATATGCATTTAAGTGGCTGTACTTTCCTGTTTCATAGCTCTAGTACTTCTTAGATATAAATACCAGGTCTGATACATTGCCAAATCTGTGGTGTTTATTCCTGTGAGGTGTATTTCAATTAAGTTAAGTCAGTATATATTGAATATGTTAACTTCAATATTCTGCTAACTTTCAGTTTTTATGGTTTGTTAAAAGCAGTTGCTTGGGCTGGCGCCACAGCTCACTAGGCTAATCTTCCACCTGCGGTGCCGGAACCCCAGGTTCTAGTCCCAGTCAGGGCGCTGGATTCTGTCCCGGTTGCTTCTCTTCCAGTCCAGCTCTCTACTGTGGCCCGGGAGTGCAGTGGAGAATGGCCCAGGTCCTTGGGCCCTGCACCTGCATGGGAGACCAGGAAGAAGCACCTGGCTTCTGGCTTTGGACTGGCGCAGCGCGCCAGCCGCAACACGCCAGCCATAGCGCGCCAGTGTAGCGGCCACTTGGTGGGTGAACCAATGGAAAAATGTAGACCTTTCTCTCTGTCTCTCTCTCACTGTCTAACTCTGCCTGTCAATAAATAAATAAATAAATAAATAATATGACTGGTTTAGATCTGTAATTGATGCACAGTTATTCTTAAGTGTTGAAAATTAACTGAAATGTGATCCCTGTTGAACATGGTGGTGGGAATGGGAGAGGGAAGAGATGTATAATTTGGGACATGCTCAGGCTGACTTGCCCCAAGTGGTGGAGTTGGAAGCATACCAGGGGATTCCAATTCAATCCCATCGAGGTGGCATGTACCAATGCCATCTCACTGTTCCAGGTGATCAGTTTCAGTTCACAGTTGGTCATGGTGAAGGGACTGGGAGTCAAAGGGAGCACATAGACAAGTCTAGTACCTGCTAACGCTAACTGATGGAGTAAATAAAGGGGAGAGTGATCCAACATGGGAAGTGAGAATCTCAGCAGACTCATAGAATGGCAGATGTCCTAAATAGCACTCTGGCCTCAGAATCAGCCCTAAAGGCATTCGGAGCTGGCTGAAAAGCTCATGAGAGTATTTCAGGCATGGAAAGCCAAGACACTCTGGCAAAAGATCTCTGCGAGTGAGATCCCAGTGGAAAGAACAGGCCATCAAAGAAGGAGGTACCTTTCTCTGTAGGGAGGAGAGAACCTCCACTTTGACTATGAGCTTGTCTAAACAAGATAAGAATCGGAGAACTCAGAGGGCTTCCATAGCCTTGGAAACTCATGACTGGAGCATAGGGAGATTACTGATGCCATAGACAGGAGTGTCAATTGGTAAAGTCAACAACAGGAGTCACTGTGCACTTACTCCTCATGTAGGATCTCTATCCTTAATGTGCTGTACATTGAGATTTAATGCTATAACGAGTACTCAAACAATATATTCACTTTGTGTTTCTATGGGGGGTGCAAACTGTTGAAATCCTTACTTAATGCATACTAAACTGATCCTCTGTAAAAAAAAAAAATAAAAAAAAAATAAAAAAGAAATTATCAATTCCCAACTTGACTCTCACTGGGATTAAACATGACAATAGGTCTGCTCTGATTTCATCATCATTTAAAAAAATCATCTATTATTTTTCACTTTATGTTTCTGTGTGGGAGCAAACTGTTGAAATCCATACTTAATGTATACTAAGCTGATCTTCTGTATATTAAGATAATCGAAAATGAATCTTGATGTGAATGGAAGGGGAGAGGGAGTGGGAAAGGGGAGGGTTGTGGGTGGGAGGGACGGTATGGGGGGAAAGCCATTGTAATCCATAAGTCGTACTTTGGAAATTTATATGCATTAAATAAAAGTTTAAAAAAATAAAAAATAAAATAAAAAATAAATAAACAGTTGCTTGAATCCCTAGAAAAATAATTGTTAATTTTTCTTGATTTTCAAATTATTATGTGTACACAGATTAGTCATTGCCTATTGTCTTTTAATTTTTTTTTCCCAGTGAAAGAAGCCTTGAGTCCTATAAAATTTAACAGATGGGATCTCCCAGAAGTAGATCCAGAAACTATGCAAACCAGTGAACCATGGGTGTTTGCAGGTGGTGATATTGTCGGTGTGGCTAATACTACAGTGGAATCAGTGAATGATGGAAAGCAAGCTTCCTGGTACATTCACAGATACATACAGGTAGGCATTTTCCATCAATTCTGGTTAATTTTTCCCAGTGAATAAGTGTTTATTTTTGATACTCATATATTAGTGCTTTTCCAAAGATGTATAATAAATATACCACATGCATATTTACTTAGATAAAATTTTGAAAATGTGGACTGGATATGAGGATTCTTTTATTGGTTGTGAATTCATTATGCATTTCTACCAGTGGAATGCCATGAAGTCATTTATTTCTGCAGCCTTCAAGGTATTTATCAGTAGCTTAAATACACAGAGCAATGTATTTATAAAATCAGATTGTGTATTTATGATGTCTGATAGGAGATACATTTTATATTCATGATCTTACACAGTCCAAAACTATTTGGTGCATATATTTGGATCAAATAAGGTCTCATACATTTCTGAAATTTTGTGTACCTAAGTGTAAACAAATATTTCATGAATTTAATTATAATTTTTTGATGTTTAGTTTTTTGATAAAATTCAAAAGGTAAAAATGATAAAATATGAAATCAAACATACTCTTGCATATGCAGTGACTGTGCAGTCTTGGGGAAAGAAGCCATATATTACACTTGGTAGTCCTACTTTTTGACTAAATGCTCTGTTTTTGTCTTACTCTAAAATTTAATTAAATGTAGTTAAAGTCACCTCATTTACATAAAATATTTCTGGAAAAGTTTCCTCTTGCTATTAAAATTCTTATTTTCTCTTTCTAATTCAGAAAAGACTCTTTACTCACAGTATCCTTTCCTACCTTCCTTCTCTTGATTTTCCATATTTATCCCAATGTGCTAACAAAGCTCACTTTGTCTTTAATGTTCCATTGAATTTCGTCCTCTTTTCTGTGACCATTTATTCTAATTGTCATTCTGTTCTTTTTTGTAGTCCATGTGGAGTTGTTTATCTATTAGGTAGGGCCTGGGCTTGCTACTGATCACATCATATTTCTGTGTTTGATTGGCTTACCTATTTCCATCTCATCCCTGGAACTCTGAGTAGTGAGATTTGAGCTGTTGGATTTGGGCCAGGATGTTGTGTCACAGAAATGGAGGACTCTAAAAAGGAATGTAAGCCACCTATGGGTTTTGTATAAAGACAAAGTTGCGATGTAAGAATCAGTTAGAGAGATGCCAAATTTAAAATTAAAACCAAAAACAAGAAAAGAAAATCCCTCTAGGGCCCAGCGTTGTGGCACAGCAGGTTAAGTTGTTGCTTGCTATGCCAGCATCCTGTATTGAAGTACTGGTCTAAGTCCCGGCTATTCTGTTTCAGAAGTAGCTCCCTGTACATTCTTCAGATGTAGCAAATGCACCTGGGAAGAAAATGAAGATGGCCCAAAAGCTTGGGCTCCTGCCATCAATGTGGGAGACCCAGATGGAGCTCTAGCTCCTGGCTTCCACCTGGGGCAGACTTGGCTGTTGTGGCCATTTGAGTAAGGAGCCAGCAGATGAAAACTCACTTCCTTGATCAGTGTCTCTCCCTCTCTCTGTGTCACCCTGCCTTTCAAATAAAGAAATAAAAAAAAAAAAAAAAAACTCTAAAAATCGGTTATAAATAGGAAGTGAATAGGCTAGGTAATCAAGGAAAAAATGATAGGAAATCTTTCTTACCTTTTTCTTTCTACTTTTTTTTTTTTTTTTTTTTTTTTTTAAGAGAGAGAACGAGAGAGAGGCTGCACACATCCACTGGCTCGCTTTCCACAAGGGCAAAGGTTGGCTGAGGCTGAGAGCTGGGAATTCAGTTCACGTTTCCCATGTCAGTGGCATGGACTCAACCAGCTGAGCCATCACTGTCTGCCTCCCAGGGTCAACATTAGTGAGAACTGGAATTGGGAGTGGAGCCAGTATTCAATCATGAAAACTTGTATATGGGATGTGGGTGTGTTAAACTCTCTTAACTGCTGAGCCAGATGAGCACTCCAGTATTTTAATCTTAACAGAAACCTGGAAATCAAAGCAGGGAAGTTGGTGAGGGGTTTCAGCTCTAGTCCCTGCAGTGACTGAAGGAAACAGTCCTGTGTCTATGTGTCTCCACACAGTGGGGAGGGGACAGTCTCCTGTTTTAGCTTTTGTGCTCTTTCTGTCCCCAAACTTTCTATTCTGTGTTTCTGCTTCCTGACTTCACTCTCATTTTCATAGCATTCTCATAGTTCCCAATAGTTGCCTCCTTTTTGGTACTTCCTTAATTCCTTCCATAATCCAGGTGTCTGGTGGACATCTCACGTGCACATCTAACCTACTTTGCCAACTACGGTCATGTGGATGTCTTTCACATGCACTGCTTTTAAACCAAACATTCCAATACCATTCCACATCCAGTATTTAACATTTCTGACTCTCAGGTTCAAACACACTAAATCAGCAGTCTTCACACTTTAAGATTATACAGACTAATGCAATTTTCAAAATCAAGTTGGGAATCAATATTAGGCCAATGGCTATTTTTCGTTATGTATTTATTTTTATTTGAAAGATAAATAGTGACAGGCATACAGAGATCAGCACTCTTCTGTTTCAGAGTTGAAATACACACAACTGGGGTTAGGCTAGGCCAAAGTCACAGGTGGGGAGCTCAATCCAAATCTCCCACGTGTGTGGCAGGCATACAACTACTTGATTCTTCACCATCTGCATTCCAGGATGCACATTAGAAAGAAGGTGAAATCAGGTGTGGAGGCGTGAGTTGAACCCAGGCACTATGTTATGGCATGTGGGCATCAAATGTCATCTTAGCCACTAGACCAGATGCCCACCCCTATGGCTAACGCATGTTTTACTGAGTAGCAGCATTAAAACAAACATACAAGCAAAGGAAACTGTAGCATTACTGACATATATTCACAAGGAATTTTTGTGGAAAAAAAAATCGGAAAGGATTCAGTCTCAGGAAGAGCTACTTGTCAGGAAAATGCAGTTAACAGGTACAGGAGAATAGACTCTTGTGTTAGGTCAGATGAAACCCAGTGAATGTGTGAATTCGGTTTGCAGAAGTGAAAATGGTGGGACGGCAGAGATGCTAGAGAGATTTGAAAAGATAAAATTGAACATGGTCAGTGGAGAAAGGTTTGCTTTTTCTCCCTAAACATTTAAATCCATTTACAGGTTTTAAATTAAAATACAAAAAAGTTTAAATATATTTTATAGCTTAATTTTGTAATGTTTCACAATTACCATTCTAAAGGATGCCTGTATAAAAAATATTTTCCTCTGATTGAAAGGAAGAGAGCGAGAACCCTTCCATCCACTGGTCCACACCCCAGGTGCCTATAACAGCCCTAGTGGGGACCGAAGGCAGGAGCCATAAATCAGTCCATGGCTTGCATGTTGCTAGCAGGACCCCGATTACTTGAGTCATCATTATTGCCTCCCAGGGTCTGCATTCACAGGAAGCTGGATTCTGGAGTCAGATTCAACTGTGGAACCCAGGTGCTCCCATACTGGACTTGCTGTCCCAAATGGCATCTTCATTGCTAATGACCTCTCCTACAGGATTCTTGATAGTGCTTTTCTTTCAAATTCCTTGTTGTCTTTTAACTTCCCTGAATCTAATAAATGTGTCCTGAAGGAAAAAAAAAAAACATTAGCAATTATTTTACTTAGTTTCACTTACTCATGAAGAGAGAAACAGACCTTTATGATGAAGAAAAACATGCATGTGTTTAAAAAACACATATCGCTAGGAATGACAGTGTCTGGAATATGAAATAAAAAATTCATGCCCAGTAAGATTTTTGAATTTGGCTGAAGGATTTCAGACTTGTCAAACTAAGTGTTGAATTACATTTTAAAATGAAGAAGAGATGGAAGGTAGGTAAAAATCTCTGTCAAATAAAATCAACGCTTCTAGCTTTCTGCCAGGGTGTGGAAGGCAAAGTGCTAAGCAGTGGAAAGGCGAAAAAGAAACTCATAGACAAAGTGGGATTTTCTCTCTCCACACTGTCATTAACTTAGTTCTCATCTCTATCACCTTCCTTGAAATTGCCTCTAATTTCTCCCCTGTTGCATTCTATGCCCAACCCTGAGCAGAGCCATCTTTCTAGAATACAAGTTGGCTCCTAATTTCTTTATTTAAAACTCTTGTGGCTCCTCTTTATGCTTAAGCTAAATCTTAATCTCCTTAGCTTGTGACACCAATTTGTGACCAATGCACCAAGATTTCTGCTGAATCATCATTTTCTCCATATTCCACCCATTTCCTTGGGTTGAATCCCACTTGCCCTTCCAGTTTTGCCTTCTCATCCTCTTCCTTATGTGTTTCTTTTTCTTTTTCTAAAATAAGATTCATTTTATTTACTTTAAAGGCAAAGATACAAAGAAAGGGGATGGAGACACACACACACAAAGAGAGAGAGAGAGAGAGAAAGAGAGATTGATCTTTCATTCACTGTTTCACTCCTCAAATGGCTACAACAACTGTGGCCAAAACCAGGAGCCATGAGCTTCATCCTGTCTCCTATGCCGGTGCAGGGGCCTAAAGATGTGGGCCATCTTCCACTGCATTTTCCAGGTGCATTAGCAGGGAGCTGCATAGGAAGTGGAGCAGCTGGAATGCCAGCATTGCCAAAATTACGTATGGGCACTAGCCTGAGTCCTAGCTGCTCCACTTCTGATCCAATTCCATGCTAATACTCCTGGAAAAGAAGCAGAGGATGGCCAAGGTGCTTGGGCCCCTTGACCCATGTCGGGGACTGGGAAGAAGTGCCTGGCTCCTGGTTTCAGTCTGGCCCTTCCCCAGCTATTGTGGGCATTTGGAGAGTAAACTAGCAGATAGAAGATCTCTATCTCTGTTTCTCCCTCTAGTTCTACCTTTCAAATAAATAAGAAATAAATCTTAAAAAAAAAACAAAAAGTTGCTGCTCGTCATGATGGCATCTTGTAACATAGTGTCATTTTGAGACTACTCTGCTTCTTATCCAGCTTCCAACTAATGTGCCTTGGAAGCAAAAGATGATGACTTGAGTTCCTCTCACCCATTTAGGAGACCCACATGGACTTCCTGGCTCCTGGCTTCAGCCTGGCCCAACCCTGGCCCTTGTAGCCATTGGGGATTGAACCAATGGATGGAAGATCTCTCTCTCCCTTTGTTCCTCTCTGTCATTTTGTGTATGTGTGGGTGTGTCTCCCCTCTCAGTGACTCTGCCTTTCAAATAAATAAAATCGTTAAAAAAAAGGAAAAAGAATGGGCCCATTATGTGATAATTTCCTTAGAATTGAAACTAGTGTTTTCTTAAAAATGTAGCATTTATTAAAAAAATTCTGTAACATGTAAAGTGTATTTGTGAATTAAGGATTTGTAAACCTTTGCTTTATATTTCACAGTCGTTTCTTTGGGAGAAAGTTAAACACTAGGTAGTATATTTTTAAAGGTGATTTAATAAACATATTATAGTACGATTTAATGTACACAATCATTGCAATTTAGTATTTAGAATTTCTTTATAAAAAAAACTTTTTCAGATAAATCAGATTATTTAAAGACATTCATGTTGGGATTTCAGTAATTCCCACAGTTCTCTGAAGAGAGTATCACTTATATCCCATTAGTTAATTTGTTCAATTACCACTTATTGAGGACCAGCTGTTGGGCCCAACACTTGACATTAGGAGGGTTACCAAAATGAATAAATCAAGAGAGGTATAATATGGTGGTTGTAAATTGGGCTCTGAATTAAAGGGCAGATTTCAGACCTAGTTCCAACACTTTCAAACTGTATGACCTTGGGCAAGTTACTTTATCACTCAGCACGTGATCATCTTAGCAATAAATAATAGATCGGGTTGTGGGGAAGATTACAGGAGATGATTTATAAAAATGTCTTAGTACAGAGCCTGCTTTATAAATATTGTTTGTGTTGTTGACATTCCCTTTGGATTATTAAAATGAGATCATAAAATTATAATAAGGAGACTTGAATATAAGCTTGAAATTTAGGATCTTAACAGATAAAGTTTGAAGTAGGATATTTCAGATAATTATAAAAACATTCTATTAAGCCACTCATTATTTCACCCATGGACATTCATTTATCTATCCATAAAATCATCCATGATTGAGTCCTTCATTCTTTTATTCATTCAGTAAAAATAGTGCTATCTTTCCTTGATGCAGTAATTACAAGGTGATGAATTAAAACAGGAAACTTGGCATTAAGAACCCCTAGTGAGGGACAGTCTGGTAAATAAGTCTAACACAGTACAATTAACAAAATAATTTAAAGCATAGAGGAAGCGTGGAAGAGATAATGACTGATTCTGTCTAGCTGTGTGTATCAGGACATGGAATCAGCAAAGGCTTTGCAAAAACCAAGTTACAAATAAAGTGGATAAGAAAAATTATAACACTGAGTGACTAGAATGGCTGAATGTTGAAAAATGTTTAGGCTGCTCTCTGTAGAAGGGGTACCCAGACATGGGAACCAGCTTGCTGAAATTCAGACCAAGCGCTACTTACCCAATAATGGAAGCTTTTGTTGGACTGCTTCTACTCAGAGGAATGAGTAGCATTCCTTGAATTTTCACAGAGGTGCTCTATGCTTGTTCCATAAGCCTTGCACTTGGGCAGAGTTTCAGTTTATTTCATCAAAAGGCATAGTCTGGGCTAGGGGAGGCCCTGAACATAGAGAATATATAAGAAATAATGAGGTAAAAGATGTGTAGCTGTACTGGGGCTACATATGATAATACCTGACTTCGAATTTTAATTTGAGGTATGTAATGTGATAGGAAGTGTTTGCATAACTATAGAAGTGATCACATCAGATCTGATATTAAGGTGCAGAAAAACATTTTCTAATTTGTCAATATTTTCCCCCCTTAAGGGTCATCATTTTGTAGTATTAAACTTAGTCTTCTGTACTGGTAAGTTATCCAATGTGGTATCATTTTGTTAATAATACTATGATGTTAGTAGAATTCAGGCATTTCTGAGCTTTTTTTCTACCACTTGAATATCTGTTAAGCCACAAAGAAAATGAAATCCTGTCATTTGCCATAAAATGGATGAATCTAGGCCAGCGCTGCGGCTCCCTAGGCTAATCCTCCGCCTGCAGCGCCAGCACACCGGGTTCTAGTCCCGGTTGGGACACTGGATTCTGTCCCAGTTGCTCCTCTTCCAGTCCAGCTCTCTGCTGTGGCCTGGGAGTGCGGTGGAGGATGGCCCAGGCACCCGCATGGGAGACCAGGAGGAAGCACCTGGCTCCTGGCTTCGGATCGGCATAGCGCGCCAGCCAAGGCAGTCATTTGGGGGTGAACCAACGGAGAGGAAGACCTTCTCTCTGTCTCTCTCTCTCTCACTGTCTAACTCTGCCTGTCCAAAAAAAAAAAAAAAAAAAAAAAAAAAAAAAAAAAAAAAAAAAAAGAACCTAGAGGACATTAGGTTAAGTGAAATAAGCCAAACACAGAAAAAAAATACCTCATGTTTTTACTCATAATCGGAAACTGAAGAAGTTGATTTCATAGAAGTAGAAAGTAGAATATTAGTTAACAAACAGAGGAGATGTTAGAGAGATTGGATAATAGGTGCCAACATAGAGTTAGAAAGGAAGAAAAAGTTCTAATGTTTTATAGCATAGTAGGGTGAATATGGTTTATAACCTCTATCTATAAATTGACTGTGTATTTCAAGTGGCTAGAAGAGAAGATTTTTAATATATCACCACAAAGAAATGATATGTTTGAGGGGATGGAAATGCTGATTGGTGTGACTTGATTATCATATATACATGCATTCAAATATCACACTGTACCTCATAAATGTACATAATTATTTTGCACCAATTAAATAGTTGTAATGAAAAAAAATCACTGAGTATCAAGGATAATTTTGACAATGTACTCAAAGAAAGACTATGCGACTAAAAGTATGATTATAGCCAAACAATAGTTTCCTAAATTATTTATTGAACTACTGTATGCTTTTGCATGCTTGTGTTTATGTGTCTATGTGCATACATGTATTTGGATAAATAGTCTGTACTAGGAAAATAAAGAAATCAACCATATCAATCCATCAGCCATTTTTTTCTCTTAAAGAGCTTACAGTGATGACTAGATTTGATAATTATCCTTTTGAAATAATTATAGCAAAGTATATTCTTTGACACAGTGGAAGATTAGACTTACTGTAACCAATGAATGCTAAAATAGTCATAGAGCAGAGCACAGTGTTTACTATAATAATTGGAGAAAACTCCTGAAAGAAGTACTCTGATTTTTATCCTCCTTACAGAATAACCTTGTATATTTACTTGTCAATCACTATAATAATAGTGACTATTTGTTTAGTATCTATTATACATTGTACTTTATTTTTCTTACAATGACCTTGTGTAGTGGGTATCATTATCTGTATTTCACAGCTTTTAAATATAAAGGCTAAAATGATTAAACCTATTCAAGGTCAATATCTTGTCAGAAAAGAAGCCAGGATTGGAACTCACACATATTATTGTATTATTCCCTGCTCTAAACTGTTTCCCTGCTATATTTCAACTGTGAATTGTTATTCTTCTTGCTGTCAGCAGTCCTTGACACTTTTCCATGCAATGTTTATGTATTAAAATTTAAAAATATAATAACAGAACTTTTCCTGATTGTTCACTGGAGAAATTAGAAGACAGTGATTAGAGGCTATAATTTATATATAACTTAGTTCTGGTTAAAAATATATATTAACGTGAATGATTAAGTGGACAACGTTCTTAGAATATGAGTGTGCCAAATCTCCTAAATTTCAGAGAAAAAAGTGCGGGGAATTAGCCATATGATTAAAGACCTAAATCTAATTGTTAATAAAGATATAAATAAGGTACTTTAATTATATAGGTAAATCCAGAAATTCATAAACAATATAAATTGGATAAATACAGAACATTCATTTACAAAAAAGGAAGTCTAGGAAAGTTCCTTTATCCTTTAAAACTGAAACCAGCAATTATTTCATTCTTTAGAAAACTTTAAAATAGACAATTGTAAAAAATGTTCCTACATTGAGCGTATCATTTTAATTGAAAGCAAATATCTTCTCATTTTCTTTTTCTTTTTTTTTTTTCAAACAATACAAGGCCACAGCCCTTTGAATAAAATATTTAGGTGCTCTATGTGTGTTGTCTAAATCAATCTATAAGATATTGTCTACAATTTCTATTTTTGTTTTTGGAAGTACAACAATACAATACCTTCAAGAAACCTTCAAAATAATTTTCTGAATTATTTTTGGTTGCCCTGGAGGCATTTCATTTGTTTAACTCTTACCTAATTTGACAGAATTTTTTAGTACCTCACCTTTATCATATTATTGGAAGATATAGAATCAACTCATTCTCTTGTCATATTCACATAACTCATTAATTTAACCAGCATGAATTGGGTAGGAAACATGCAATTCTTGATGATGAGAATATAAAGGTTATAGGTACATAGGGATACCTTTATAGTTTTAGAGATTCAGCACTCTGTGGCTGTCCTTTGTATGTTTCATAGAAGCAAATGATGCAGCAATTAGTCTAGTAAATCAACCAACTTAAGAACCTACAAGGGACTTCAAGTTCTAGCTTTACAAAAGCACCAAAAGAAATACTATAAACTATTATTAATTTGCAAAAGCATCAGAAGACTTAGAACAAAGTTCTGATATTAGAATATAAACAGATTTGATTATTAAAAAATGTGTAGAGAGAAATGCTATAGATAGAGCATCAAGCTATGTCCTTCCTCAAAGAACAAACTTAGATCTAGAACACAGGCTTAGTTCATCCAAATTCTCATGCCAGATCAGAAGCTCATTTTCCCTGGAGTAGTTGTTGATCTGAGAAGGAGCTTTTATAAATAGAAACATGGAACATTTTGTCAAGTAAAGTCAATCTATAAGGAGATTTTAATTATAAAACCCTACTGGCTTGGTGTCATCAATATAGTTATCCTTTGGTCATGCCAATATCCTATTAAGAATTTTATCTGAAATGCACTCTTAGATATAATATTAAAACACACACACACAATATGTAGTACTAGTAGTAGAAGAGGTCAACCAAGTCTACATGATATTGTTATGAAACCAGTTTTAGTGGTAAATATCTAAATATTGAGAAATAGGAGTTATTAGTGGAAGAATAAGTATGGAATCAACAGGTAGATATAGAAATTCCAATAATCGATGGTTTTGTATAGAACTTCTTTTAAAACAGAAGTAAAAAATGAAAAGATCAAGAAAGCTCATACACTTATGGGAAAATGCAATGGATAAGAAAGCAAATATTGAGGCTTTAAATGAAAAAGATGTTTGGTATGCTTATAAGTAACTTGAGAATTTCTTGAATTTTTAGTTATAGAATAACTAAAGTTGAATAGTTACAGAATATATATTTGCAGCTAGTATTAGAGGCCAACTTTAAACAACAACAAAATTTAATTATTTCATTCTTGATTTAGGTGTATATATATATGTATATATACACATGAACTTAAAATATTTTATATTAATGTGTCCACATTAAGGCATCTGATATTGTTTTGATTATTTAATTCATGAATATTTATCTTCCTTCTGATTTATCAATCCTCTATAAGGCGTCTGATATTGTTTTGATTATTTAATTTATGAATATTTATCTTCCTTCTGATTTATCAATCCTCTATGAAACAATTCACGTGGTAAAATTATCCCAGAACAGACACACAAGATACATATTTAAAAGTTTTCACATTGTACTAGACTAAGGTATGTTCCTTAGCCCTGTAAACTCACAGAGCACAGGTATCTTTAGGTATTGCTTTCTACAATATTTTTGAGGCTATCAATAAAGCTTATATAATGTTATAAAAATGTCCTTTAACAGTTTCCATGATTCTATTCAGTTGTATTAGTCTTTAGGAGTATTTAGAAATAAATGTTTATAAAGTTATTCAAAGCTATCATAAATTTCTAGTATTATAGACCTATTTTTCTACTGCTTGAGGTTTTTGTATATTCTTGTTCTATGGAGGTATAAAAGAGTCACTATCTGTTGGGGGATCTAGGTATCTAAGGGGACTGGTAATGAGATACAGAGCCTTTAACCTCTTGGCCACTGGTTCAAACCTGCCCCAGGTCAAAAGTGACAGAAAGTCATTACCATCTGATGGTAGTTCAATAGGCTATGTGAAATGAATTTGTGATTCTGGTACCTTACAGAAACAAAATCATGCCATAGATTTACTATAGAGTGGCACATAATGATAGTTGTGATTTTAGTTCAAAGAGAAAGGAGAACTCAAATAATCAACTCTCTCTTAGGTAGATTTGTTGGTGGAATGATGTAGGAAAGCTAGTTTATGCCTGTACTGGTTTCTGATTTGGGTCCATGAGATGTACCTCAAAAGGGATCTTTACTGCCATAGTTGGTCATCACTAAATCAAGTTTTAAAAAGCTTTTCCATTCTTAGATGGTCATTAATTCAAAGTTTAAAGTTACACTGTTCATGTCTCTTGTTTCTTCAATGTACTTTACGTATTTTTAAATATTTCATTTTCCTTTTGAATCATATTATGAATTTCATCTACATTTGAATATATGAATGAATATTTAGAGAAGTCTGTTTGTTCTTGTCACTCATTTGAGAAATACTTAGTTAACAAAAGAAAAGACAATTGTAGAAACACTTTGAAGATGGAGAATTCAAAATTGAGTAGGGAGCAAAAGAGATCATTGTTTTAAGAGCTATTGAATTATGTGCATTCATGTCAATAAAGGAGACCTTTTACCTTTGACCATTTTTAGAATTGGGGATTACTTGAGCGGTTTTGTCATTCTGATATCTTTAATGAGCAATAAAATTGTTGAAACTTTCTGATTTGAAGTGTCTTTGGAAGTAATTATATTTCTAAAGATTAAAAAAAAGTTTATACCTGAAAGATATGTAAGATCATAGCATTTTATTAATGGCAGCATATTTACTATTGTAGTTTATATCAGGCTCAATAATTTTCAAAACAAGCCCACATTAGTGGGTTGAATGAATTTTTAAACTATCTCTGATAACTTTTGTGATGTGAAAATAATACCTGAAAAATTATAGCAACTATGCCTTTGTTAAAGATTTCTGATCTGGATAAAGATGAACATTTGCTAAGAATGTGACAGTCAGGGATTTTCAAAAACAAACTTACAAGAACTTATCTATGTTCAAGTCTCTGGTACTTGGAAGACCTTTGGTCCTAACTTTAAATAAAAGACACTTGTTATCGTTATCGTGCCTTAAAAAGAAATCATTTGAATTCCACATCTTCAAAGGCATTCTTTAGCCCAGAAATATACCAGTGGTTTCCCCGATATCTGAAGAACTATGATTTTAGAATTAGAAATTTAAATTGCACAAGCTTAGTATGAGAGTATTTCCGTTACCCTTTGCAGGTTTTGAGGCAGCTTATTCGACCTTACAGTCTCACCAGGAAGCTAATGGGAAAGCCTTGCAGCAATCTTCACAGGAAAGTTTCCAAATGTCAAGTGTCATCTTTCCAGCTGTTAGATGAATGGGTAGCCAAGAGGCATTTATTTGGGTGTGCAGCCCCTGTGAAATCTGGGTGAGGCAGGAGAAAAGGCTATAATTTGGTGGTTAGTTTACCAGCACTGGTATAGTTGCAAATCTCCTGTCCAGGCCCTGGACTTCATTTTGTGGCTTAATGATTGACAGGCAACCACAGTGTTCTTGCACTTAAAGAATAGAAATGCTGTTAAAAAAAGGCATCATCGATATGTCATACTAATTTTCGAATCCTCTACTGCTTCAGATAAAAACAATCTTATCAACAGAGCTGCCTTCTTCTCCTCTAAACCCCTTTCCAACTGAGAGGAGGCAAGGCTTTTGAAATGACAGCTGTATTAAAATCTTGAGACTTATTGAAAAAGTGTCCTTCAGTTTAAGATATATTGCAAAGTCTTTAATTCCTATGTTAAAAGAAGATTGATATAAATCATTGGCTACTGTCAGGTTGAAAAACAATGAATATCAATAAAAAGGCAGTTTTAAATCATAATGGATTCAGTTTGAGATAGTGATAGCCTCCAAAAAATAATATTGAAGTATGTCATGGCTAAATGCTGTTTCCATGCTAAGTTTTTCCACTTGCTAGAATCATAGAATTGAGATGACTCCAGCTAGTCTCATTGAGAAACTGAGCCTTTAAATTTAATGGGTATCAGAAATGCATGTGATCTCACTTTTATCCCTTATGATTGGGAGTAGTAAAGTCAAATTTGCTTATAGTACCTGAAAAATTAATTCCATTTCATTTGCTTATAAAGAAACATGCAATAATATCCATAGTACTCTCAGAATTTACCTCTTTAATGGTATATTGGGATTAATTTGTGATGTATTTCCTCACTACTATTTTAAATACTAATGCATCAGCGATTTAAAATTTTTAAATATTACATTTGTAATAATATACAACTTTTTGTTTATGAAGGGGGGTTATGTATAGCTATATGTTATAAAAGGAAGTCAAGGAACAATGTGCAATTTAGCCTATACCTAATGGAGCTATCAAAATAAAACTATCCAGTTGGTTATAGAGAAAGGAAATACCATAGCTAATAAGTAATTTTAATGCCTTTTGTTGACTTTATATAGGGTTCCAGACTTGTATTAAATGGAAGCACTTGGCCTGAAAAGTAATTTAAAATGAAATTGTCTCCATAAAGGCAGAATATTTCTTTACCAACACACAGCACATTGCTACTTCAGGCACAGTAACTAAAGATAAGAATAGTCAAAAAATATAATAATTAGATCTGAGAAATCAAATCCATATGATCCCATGTCATAAGAAACCTAACCTTACAGTACGTTGATGGAGAATAAAAGAGGTTAGCCACTGCAATATCACATGATCCAAATGGGCTGCGAATGTTAAGGATCCCACATCAAATTTACTAGCCACTGACATCTGGAGCTGTCTGCAGTGAATGACAATATCACAGCAAAACAAACATTTGAGAAACTTCAGTTTGTTGGGGAAGATTCAGATTCAAAATGTTATAATTGAAAATTGGGACTGAAATTGTGTTTCTTAGCATTCAGTGATTTAGTGAAGCTGAGTCTCAGGTTATGTACAGATTATTTTCTAGGAACTTTACTTTCATATCATACTAAAAATTACTTCTGAATTAACCATTTTCTTTCACTTTAAAATTTAGAAGAATATGCTAAATTTGTTTGAGATTGGTTTGGTCATGAAGATAATATGATTCAGCCGCCTACTATATGACCCAGGAAGCTGAGGGATAGACTTTAAAAGAATAAACTCAAGTAGTAGGAAAACTCACTGCTAATAGAACCCCAATAAAATTATCAAAAAGGCTTTAAAATTATGTTAAAAGTGCTCAAAGAGATAAAGATAGGAATAATGTCCATAATAAAGAACCGCTGAAGATGTGATGCCTCTCTTAAGATATTGAACCTAGGTAACAGGTCAGGTTGTAAAAAAAACTGGGGGTAGAGCCCAAGTTTTGATGATCTACCAATTGTTTATTTTGGCACCATCCTACTTCTTCCTTATGGTGTTCTCTTTGAGATACAGCTAAGCAAGTGGAAGACACACATAGATTAGTCCCTGAGGTCATCAAATAATTTCACTCCAGTGTGGGAATGCTTACTGTACTTTTTATAATTCAAACAGCTAATTCTCAAAATTTACCATGTTTCCTTTGAGACTCCTTCTCCTATACTGCAGTCTCTGGATTTGTGCCTGGAAACATTCTGTGGAAATGTAGCCTTCAAATCATTATTTTATTAGTTTTCTTTTCTGAGTTATCTATACTGCCTAGAACAGTGTTTACCTCATAGTTGATGGTTGACCAATAAAATACCTGCCATAAGTAGACAGTTGATGAATATGATTGAAAAACTGGATATGTTTTGGAAATGTTTTCAATTATGGGGACATGGGGTTTAGAGAACATATTTGGCTAGTTTATTCAGTTTATTGGTGATAGGTGCTATGTTACACTGCTAAAACAACTGGTGTTTGATGGAGGAGTGGAATTAACATGGAAACAGGAGTAAGATGGAAATTCCAGTGCTTTGTAATATTCCCCTTTTGATTCTCCCAACTATCCTTCACTATAGCTATTGCTATGTCTGTTATGAAGTGACCTCTGAGTAACCATACTGGTTTTCTCCTTGTGTATTTTCACCTTAGCCCCGTTCCAAAAATACTAGAATTGAAAGGTCAACACAAAAGCAGATATTGGCTGATATGTTGTTGACTTACAATTTTGAGCTTTTTATTCCAAGACTTAATATTTAACATCACTGCTGTCACCTTTCTTAAATGTCAGCTTCTTTATTTACCTTCATCACTCTCACCTTGATCATACTGACTCCTTTGTGTTACATGGATTTGCTGTCAGGCACCACCCTGTGCTGGTCACCGGGCTTTTCTTATTCTAGCCATTGACATCTTGTCAGCAGTGTCACCACCTTTGCCCTTGAGCCTGTGAATATCACAATTGTTACTTTGTGATTGATGCTTTTGAGAATTTGTCAACATGTTATTTATTATTTTTGAGGGACCCCTGTCCAACTTCAAGCTGTTTCTTAAGGTTAATTTACTATTCTATTCTTTGAACAGAAACATTGTATTGTATGAAATTGAAGCTGAGAGCAATAGTCTACATATTATTTTCTTTATAGATGATATTGTGATTAGTAGAATGTAAGGCAAACCTATGATATGATTATAGTTCAAAAGGAAAGCAGATTGGATCATTCATTCATTCATATGGCCTATAAAGATAATATACCAAAGATTTGTAAATATGTACAGTAATTCATTGCTGACCTCCTTCTGGTACTTGGTCTTGTGTTACTTTATTAAAAAGGCCTTCCATGGCGACACAAAGTAGAAACCTCCCCTCTCCCCAGCTGTACTACTTCCTAACAAACATGCTCTGTGTCGCTCCCCCTCTTCATGGAGGAACGACACTAAACCCTGCCTAGGCTTCATATCCGAGTCACGGCACCATTATGTCGCTCCCCGTCTTCGTGGAGGAATGACACAGGACCCTGCGCTGTTCTTTCGTCTGCTCGGCCCTCCCCGGGTTTGCTGCTGGTTCTTCCCGGGTTGGCTGCCGTCCCTTCCACCTCCGTGGAAGGGCGGTTCCCCCTGGCCACTTTCCCCACTTCTGCGGGGGAGCGGCACACCACCGGTCGGCTCTCTCGGGGACTGCACAGGTGTTCCCCTTAGATGTTCCCCTTAGATGTTCCTGGTGCATGTTGTCTCTCTCCTCCTTTATAGTCCTCTTCCACCAATCCCAACTCGGCTGCCCACACTCCGAGTACGCTGCTCTCCTCCAATCAGGAGCAGCTCCTGCAGCTTGTCAAGTTGGTGAGAGGCAGCTGGGTAGAAGCTGTTTGCTCCTCTCCCAGCGCCATATTGTGGGAGAGCAGATGCATAGAATAAGTCTTAATTCCAGTAACTTAGTCTAGTGCGGGTTGCTCCCCACACTCTGCTTTCCATTTTTGAAGGGAAGTAACTAATCCACATCAAAAGCATGAACACACACATATACACTCATCTATCTTTCTAAGCCCCATCTTCCCTCAGCATCACACTGTAATGTAGCATTCACGAGACTAGAATATGTACTTTGTGGGTGGTACCAGCAAGGATCAAAGAATAGGTGGAGGTCACAAACATAGTCCTCTTAAAGAAAAACTGATTTAGCAATTACATATAGACACGAATGCCTTTGTAAGAATCCTGGAACTTGAGGGAGAGGTGATAGCATCCCAGTGGAGCAGAAACTTGAGAAAATCCACCTTATAAAGGGTAAAAGTAATATTTTTGTTTTCTCCTGATCTCTGATTCCGTATGTTGGCATAGCACCATGCAAAGAAGGATAACTTCAGGCCATGATTTCTCAAGTCAGGAAAAAGTAAACCAAGGTGGATGTGTAATTTATCCAGCATTATGGGGCTCTGCCTGAAATGTCCACTTCTGTTTTATGGCGTAGGCAAATTGACAATGCCAGAAGCCAGGGAACAGTCAGGTATAAAGAGGCAGGAGGTCACAGTAACTGGCACACTGAACTTGGCAGTAGCCCCATGAATTCGTTGGTAACCTCATCCAACAACAGCACTTGACAAGTTGCCTCATCAGACCAATAAGTCAACCCAACCAGTCCTACCCAATTTTAGAGCAAACGGTCCTACCCAACCACAGACTGCAGTCAGCGTCTGTCCAGAGAGCCTCCATGACAACCCTTTTCAAATTTGGAGGCCTCAAAGCCAGCTCCACCCAACCTCACTGTACCTGAAGGAGGATCAACAGGACTAAAGACCCTAACAATGGGAGTTGCTACAAGTTGGCCTGCTCAGAATCCCAGGTAACTGGCCTTTGAAGATGGTTATACTTGGTGAAATAAGCCAGTCCCAGAAATAAAGATATCATGTTTTCCCTGATCTGGGTACTAATAGAGCACCTAAACTGTAATGTATAGGCATGAAATGGACATTTTGAGATTCAATGATTATTTATAGCCCTTGTTTTTTTTTAACAGGCAGAGTGGATAGTGAGAGAGAGAAACAGAGAGAAAGGTCTTCCTTTTGCCATTGGTTCACCCTCCAATGGCCGCCACGGCTGCCGCGCTGCGGACAGCGCACCGCACTGATCCGATGGCAGGAGCCAGGTGGTTCTCCTGCTCTCCCATGGGGTTCAGGGCCCAAGCCCTTGGGCCATCCTCCACTGCCTCCCCAGGCCACAGCAGAGAGCTGGCCTGGAAGAGGGGCAACCAGGACATAATCCGGCGCCCCGACCGGGACTAGAACCCGGTGTGCCGGTGCCGCTAGGTGGAGGATTAGCCTACTGAGCCGCAGTGCCGGCCTTTTTTTTTTTTTTTTTTTTTTGTCATGTGGTTTCTGAAGCCATCCAATCCCAGCCTGTTGCCAGGCAGTTTCTGTTGTCAGCAGCCATCTTGGCATGACCTTCTCACCTCAGCAGCCATCTTGACATGACCTTTTCACCTCCTCATTCCACCACACTCTGGGGCCAGCGCTGTGGCACTGCAGGCTAAAGCCCTGGACTGAAGCTCTGGCTTCCCCTATGGGCACCGGTTTGAGTCCTGGCTGCTCCTCTTCCAAACCAGCTCTCTGCTATGGCCTGGGAAACCAGTGGAAGATGGCCCAACTCCTTGGGCCCCTGCACCCACATGGGAGACTCAGAAGAAGCTCCTGGCTCCTGGCTTAAGATCGACACAGCTCCTGCCATTGCAGCCATCTGGGGAGTGAACCAGCAGATGGAAGACCTCTCTTTCTGTCTCTACCTCTCTCTGTAACTTGTTTTTCAAATAAATAAAATCTTTAAAAAAAAAAAAAAGAAAATAGATCTCTAAAATTAAGAGTTAGAATCGGAGAGGGAGGAGAAAGAAGCATTGGAGTGTAAATGGGAGAGGAGGAGGTATCACTATGTTCCTAAATCTGAATATATGAAATACATGAAACTTGCATAACTTAAATAAAATTTTTTAAAGATTTAAAAAATTTATAAAAGGTCTTTCCTTGACGAAGCCATCTTGTAAAGACTAAAGTAAGTGACATTTCCTAAAATCTGCAGACACCAAAGTAAACTTCATGAATAATCAGGGAAAGATAGCATTTCAGAAGGAAATTAATAGCACTGCAATAACTGACCCTCCAAAGTGAGAGGTCTGTGAACTTTCTGATAAATAATTAAGGAAAATGGTCTTAAGAAAGCTCAATGAAATGCAACAAAACACAAGTATATGACTATATGATGTTAGGAAAAATGACACATGAATAAAGTGAAAGTTCATTAAACAAATAGAAACCATTAAACACAGAAATCTAGGTCAGACATTTGTCCTAGCAGTCAAGATTTCTGTATCAGTATCAGAGTGCCTGGTTTGATTTCAGGCTTTGCTTGTGATTCCAGCTTCTTGTGAATGCAGAACCTGGGAGGCAGCAGATGATGGCTTAAGTGATTATGTTCATATCACCCATGTGGAATAAGTGGATTGAGTTCCCAACTCCTGGCTTCAGACCCCTGGCCAGGATTGTTGCAAGCATTTGGAGGGTGAACCAGTTGATTAAACCTCTCTGTCTCTCTTACGTATAAATAAATTTCAAACAATAGAAAAATAGAGATGTAGAGATGAACAATACTATAAATGAAGTGGAAAATGCAATAGAGAATTTCAAGAGAAGACTCAGTTAGGCAGAAGAAAGAATTAGGAAACTTCAAAACAGATTATTTGGAACAATGCAGTCATATTAGCAAAGGAATAAACAAATGAGCAAAAGTAAAAAATGCCTAAGAGATTTCTGAAACCATCAAACAAAGAATAAAAGTATTATGATGTTCCTGAAGAAGAGGCAAAGGGATAGAAAATATATTTAAAGAAATAATAGTTGAAAACTCCCCAAATTTGGGGAGAAAAGTAGACATCCAATTTTATGAAATCAAATAATTCCCAAATAGGCTACATCTAAAAAATACACAGACACATTATAATTAAAGTGTCAGAAGTCAAAGAAAAACAGACAGTGTTGAAAGGAGTAGAGAAAAGCAACTCATTACATAAAGGGCACTTCCGTGAGAATACCAGGGGAAATATCAAAAGAAATTTTGCTGCTCAAGAGAGAGAGGGATGATATATTCACAGTTTTTATCAACCATCAACCAAGAATATTATATGTCTTTCTTATTTATTTATTTATTTATTTGACAGGCAGAGTGGACAGTGAGAGAGACAGAGAGAAAGGTCTTCCTTTGCCATTGGTTCACCCTCCAATGGCCGCCGCGGCCGGCGCGCTGCGCACAGCGCACCGCGCTAATCTGATGGCAGGAGCCAGGTGCTTATCCTGGTCTCCCGTGGGGTTCAGGGCCCAAGGAATTGGGCCATCCTCCACTGCACTCCTGGGCCATAGCAGAGGGCTGGCCTGGAAGAGGGGCAACCAGGACAGAATCCGGCGCCCCAACCAGGACTAGAACCCAGTGTGCCGGCGCCGCAAGGTGGAGGATTAGCCTAGTGAGCCGTGGCGCCAGCCAAAAAGTGTCTTTCAAAATAAGCGAAATAAATACTTTTCTAAACAAAAACTAAGGGACTTTGTCCTCACTGCCTCTAAGAAGTACAGAGGGGAGTTCTTGAAGTTGAAACAAATAATCACTGAACAGCAACATAAATCTATATAAAAGTATAAATCTCACTGTTAAAGGTAAACATATAGGCAGATACAGATTATTATAATATTTTAATGATGTCTAACTAAATTATTTTTATCCCAATAGTAAAGTTAAAAGACAAATTATTAAGAATAATGGTAAACAATAATACACAATATACAAGGAAATAAATTCTGATTTTACTAACAGAGTGTGTTGAGAACAAAAGTTCATAGCTCTCATGTAATTGAGGTTGTTATAAGCTTAAAATGGATTGCAATAATCATGAGAGTTTATGTTCAAGCCTCATGC